CACTCCCTTGTTGCAGTCGGCGCAAAGGGCCTCGATGAATTCGCCAGTGCCGTGCCGATGGTGGTAGACCTTGCACTTGTGGGTGTCATCGGGCACAAAGTTGCGCTGGCATCGCGCGCAGCAGGTTGCAGCATCAAAGAGTGCTTTAGCTTCCGACGAAGGTGGTGGCATGAGGTTCGTGTTCTTGGTCCAGTCGAGGTAGCGCTGGCTCTCGCGCAGCAAGCTTGTGAGAAAGCGCTCCACGACGGCGTATGGACCATCCTCAGCTCGCATCACATCCAACCAGCAGCGCCGAGAGGGCAGGTAGCCATTGTGTCCCACCGACAAGTAGGCTGCTGAGGCTACTCGCCGCTGGAGCCTGTGCGTGATCCGCTCCACGGCCTCCGACGGTGGTCGATCTGATGAAACTTCGAGGTCTGCGTAGAAGGTGAGCGGACTCAGTTCTGCAGAGGCGCTGGTCTTGTACCGCAGGAGTTGCCCCACTTCTGCGGATCGGGCATCCTGAGCGGCGTCACGCGCCTCGAAGGGTCCCAGTGGCAGGACATCTCCTGATGCTTCTCCAGGTTGGCAGCCGTGTTGAAGTTGGCTCGGCAGCGAGGGCAGGTGAACGCGCTCTTGTGGCTCTTCTTCCTGGAGCCCTCCATGGAGACGCCCTGGGATCCGTAAAAGGCATTGAAGTTGTGGATCAAGGCGTAGTGACCGCTGAACTCCAGCATGCCTCACGACGTGCGTGGGGGTCTCTTCGGCCTCTCTCGGCGGCGTGCGCCACAGCTGCCGCTCGCAGTAGCAAGTCCCACCGAACTCGATCTTGTTGAAGCGGTAGACGTAGATGTGAACGCCGGGGTTGACCTCCTCGAAGTCCTGGATGTCCTGCAGCGTCACGCCTCGGTCCCTGTGAGGTTCAGTCCAAAGTCGTGGGGAACCAGCAGCTCATTTCGCAAAGGGCGCCCGCTGCGGCGTAGGGGCGCAAAGCCCTCTTTGAAGAAGAGTGGATGCCGCAGGCGCGTGGAATGATTACGCTCCTCTGCAGTCCAGTTCTCCACGCCGGCCATGTGGGCTCTGATGCACCACGCGAAGCATTGATGATCGCCATTCCGCGGATTCCAAATCCCACACTTCTGCTCGTAGAGGCCCTCTGGCAGCGCAGCGTGCGTGCCAACCGGCCGGTCCACGAAGGGAGCTGGCGGGAGCTGCGCCATCGGGAGGCCGGGCCCTACCAGCAGTGTGATGCTCAACATCTTTCCGATGTTCTCGCGGGAGTTGTTGAAGCGGGCCGATTCCAGGTGTCGCTCGAAGGAAGCCCTTGCAT